CGTCGTCGTCTCCGTCGTCCGTCGTCGTCGTCGTCGTCGGTGTCGTCGTCGTCGTCGTCGTCGTCGTCGTCCGTCGTCCGTCGTCCGTCGGCCGTCGTCGTTGTCGTCGTCGTCGTCGTCCGTCGTCGTCGTCGTCGTCGCCGTCGTCGTCGTCGTCGTCGTCGTCGTCGTCGTCGTCGTCGTCGTCGTCGTCGTCTCCGTCGTCCGTGGTCCGTCGTCCGTCGTCCGTCGTCGGTGTCGTCCGTCGTCCGTCGTCCGTCGTCGTCGTCGTCGTCGTCGTCGTCGTCGTCGTCGTCCGTCGTCGTCGTCGTCGTCGTCGTCGGTGTCGTCGTCGTCGTCGTCGTCGTCGTCGTCGTCGTCGTCCGTCGTCCGTCGTCCGTCGTCCGTCGTCCGTCGTCCGTCGTCGGTGTCGTCGTCGTCGTCCGTCGTCGTCGTCGTCGTCGTCGCCGTCGTCGCCGTCGTCGCCGTCGTCGCCGTCGTCGTCGCCGCCGCCGCGTCCGTCATCAGTGCGACGTCGCGCGGGCGCGCGCACGGTACGGGCCCGCACTCCACCGACTGGTGGAGGCCGAGGCTGTGAATGCGTCCGCTGACGGTGTAGGGGCCCTGTTCGGCGGCGAAATCCGAGCCCTACTCTCGTCGATCAACGATTCAGGCACCTCGATGGGCCGCGGGGGTAGGGTTCGGCATTCGTCGAACACGTGGCGAACTCCGAGCCCTACCCCAGCCTCCCAGCGATTCAGGAGAATCGATCGTTGGTGGGGATAGGGTTCGGGTGTCGCCACCCATTGCAGCACAAGTTGCACAAGCATGCACTTTTGGAGCTCCGCGCGAACTTCTTGGATCGGCGCGGGGCCTCCCTGGCGGCGCCTCTGGCGACGCTCCGCGCGCGCGCCTCCGCGCGCTCGGCTTGGGGGGGGGGCCCAGTCCAGCTCCACGAACCCCGCGCGGACCTCCAATGAGTGGCTGTCTTCCTTCCGGCAGGCTCGCCGTGGGGGCTGGGGCCCTCGGTGCGGCCCTGCTGCTCAACAGGACGGCAGGGGAAGGCCGTCACGTGCCGGCGCCGACGCCCCCTCCCTCGCTGCCGCCCTCGCTGACGCCCCTCCGCGGGGGGTCGCGTCGTCACGCCACGGCTCGCCCCAGGGCCCCGGCCAGAGAGCGCGCTCCAGCAGAGGCCCTGGGAACAGCGGTGTTGTTGTGGTTCCCCCCAGGGAGTCATCCGCCACATACGTGTATATATAGATACATATATATATATATACAAGGCTGCAGTGGGCTGGATGACTAGGATTGGGCTGGATGGGGCCCCGACTCTTGAAGCTGTGGAGGCCATAGTCATGGCGTTCCACATGTATAACACCGCACGTGTTTCTCTTCCGCCGTCGCCCCATCAAGAGGAGTGGACTGGCCATCTGTACGAAATTCGACGGGCTGCTGTGGCGCTCGTGGAGTTGACTAGAGTGCCCGCGTAGGCCTCGGAAGGACCCCTGTGGCGCCTCTCATGTACGAGCGCTATACAAGGCTGCAGTGGCGCTTCGCGCCATGCACCTTGGTCCTTGAAGTTTGGTATGCAGGCGGAATAGCAGGAAAGTCAAACCGACAATTTAGCGATAACTCCTGGTTGCCTTTTCCGGCATCGCCGCATAATAATGTTATTCGTTATCTTTCCTCCATGCTTCTTCTTCCTTATTTTCGCCATACCCTGCGCATTCTCCCCATCCTCCTCACCGCTTTTTTGCGGAGGCTCCTCCTTGGAGAGCCTCTAGGGGCCTCACAACAGTTGTTTGAGTGGAGGCCTCCTGTGCGTATTCTGGGGGCCTCCGGGGGCTTCCTCGGGCCACCCTGCCTCCAACCGCAGTCTCCCCGAACGACCGAATCACGATTTGGAGTTTTTCGGAGGGTGTCTTTGGGCCATCTTGGGCCGCCATGGGACTCTTTGAGGGCCATCTTGGACCCGTGTTGTGCCGTTTTGGGGCTCTCTTGGATTGCCTGGAAGCCCTTTCGGATGGTTGTGGGGCGATTTTGGAGCCTGCCAGGCGTCTTCGGACGCCCAGAAGACCGCCGTCTTGGAGCGTCGGGAAGCCGAAAAGAGGAGAACCCCTAAATTCACCAAAAACCAATAGAAAATCAATGATTATTGCCTCTGGGGGCCTTCTTGGGAGTGCTCTTGGAGGCCTCTTTGGGGCCGTCCTGGAGGCCTCGGGCTATCTTGAGGTCACGTCGGTCACTCTTGGAGCGCTCTTGTGCTGTCTTGGGGGTCTCTGGGACGTCTCCGATGACCCCCTGATCGCCCTAAGTGTGCTGGGAAGGCTTGGCAACGCGCCCTGCGAGGCCCGGTGGCCGCTTGGCTCGTCCGGAGGGTCCCAAAGCTCCAGATCCCGGAAGTCTGGTTTTGGGAGGGGGGGGGGGGGACGGGTTTTCCCCCACCCGGGCTTATACAAATATAGGAAGAGGATAGATGTGTATGTATGTATGTATGTATGTATGTATGTATGTATGTATGTATGCATGCATGTATGTATGTATGTATGTATGTAATGTATGTAATGTAATGTATGTATGTATGTATGTATGTATGTATGTATGTATGTATGTATGTATGTATGTATGTATGTATGTATGTATGTGTGTATGTATGTATGTATGTATGTATGTATGTATGTATGTATGTATGTATGTATGTATGTTTGTATGTTTGTATGTTTGTATGTTTGTATGTTTGTATGCATGCATGCATGCATGCATGCATGCATGGATGGATGGATGGATGGATGGATGGATTGATGGATTGATGGATGGATGGATGGATGGATGGATGTATGGATGTATGGATGTATGTATGTATGTATGTATGTATGTGTATATACACATACACATACATACATATATACATACATATTACAGACACCCTCCGACGGATAGTTCCTGGGCCTCTGGGGAGGGTGGCGGTGTGTAAATCAGCCTTAAGAGCCAGCGACTTGATACACCTTCACCCTTCCTCAAAGCGTATGCAAATTTCGTCGGAGGGTGTCTGTGTATATTTTTCCGTGGCGTAAATCTGGGCCTCCCAGACGGGCTCGGAGCACATGGGGTCGGAGGATCGCGCCGCATCGCCGAGGCATCGGCGATGCGGCTCGATGTAGGTCCCGATGTTCTCCACGCCGACGTCGCCGACGCACCGCCGACGTCGCCGATGCATTGCCGATGGATCGGCGGCGTTTCGGCGATGCGGCACGATCCTCAGACCCCATCTACTCGGACTCCATGTGGGCGACCTCTAAGGAAGTTGCTGGTCGAGGGCAACATGAGCCAGTACGACCCCGCGCCCGGGACCCTGGAGGGCAGGCAGATCCTGATCACGGGTGGCAACACTGGGCTCGGCCGGGAATCTGCCATCAGGCTCTTTCTTTTTTCTCTCTCCTTCCTCTCTACTCCTCTCTCCCTTCTACTCCCCCCACGCTTGTGCCTGAATGGCCAGCGCTGGCCGTCCAGACCGTTTTCGCTTGTGCCCAGCGAAGCTCTGCCCCGGGGCACACACACACACAGTCTGGTCTTCGATGCTGCCCTCTCGGCCAGTGCTTGGATGGCACACTTGCAGACGATGTTTTGGTTCGGCGATCGATGGAACATCCGCCATCAGGCTGGCTCGCGCTGGGGCGACGGTCGTGATCACCGCCCGCACGGATGCGAAGGGCGAGGAGGCGCGGGACGCCATCCGGCGCGCGTCGGGCAGCGGCAGTGTCTACTACCTGAAGTTGGACCTGGCTGACTTGGCAAGCGTCAGGTCCTTCGTGGAGGCCTACAGGCAGCAGCCGTACGGAAGCCGGGTCGACGTCATCATGAACAACGCCGGCGTGATGGCCATCCCGGAGCGCCGGGACACGAAGGACGGCTTCGAGCAGCAGTTCGGCGTCAACCACCTAGGGCACTTCGCCCTGGTTGGCCTGATGCTCCCTCTGCTTCGCAACTCGAGGGGCGTGGCGCGGGTCATCAACGTTTCCAGCATCGGTCACTTCGGCGCGACGAAGGAGCTTATGGATGACGCGATCACCGCCCCAGAGAAGTACACGCAGTGGGGGGCGTACAGCCAATCGAAGCTTGCGAACGTCCTCTTCGCGAAGGAGTTGGACAGGCGGTTCAAGGCCAGCGGTGTGAACGCTGTCGCCGTGTCCTGCCACCCCGGGGGCGTCGACACCGACCTGACACGATGGGTGTACGCCGGCAACGACAGCGCCGCCGAGGGGAAGCAGCGGAGGGAGGAGATCGAAGAGAAACAGTCGGCATCTAAACTTTCGGAGCTCCGCGCGGAGCTCTGAAAGTTTACGCTGTTGTTTTCTGATCCCCTAGAGGAGAACATCCTCGCCGACTCCCTCTATCACTACCTCTCGCGCAGCGTCGAGCTGGGCGCGAACACGCAGATCTACCTCGCCGCCAAGGAGGGCAGCGACGTGGACGGCGCGGGCGGGGCGTATTTCGACAACATGGCCCAGGCCTCCGTCAACCCAGCCGCCGACGACGAGGGGCTGGCCAGGAGGCTCTGGGCGGCGTCGGAGCGCCTGACCGGGGTCGAGTTCAAGCTCTGAGCGGAGGCTGGCTCTCGGAGAAGACGCAGAGGCACAAACAGTGACCTTTCGGAGGTCCGCGCGGGTGTCTTGGAGTTGCGCTGGGGCCCCCCTGGCGGCGCCTCGAGCGCCGATCCAGGACTCCGCGCAGAGCTCCGCGAGTTTATGACCCAAGCAGTGTTTGCACTTGTGGTTTCTTATCTTGCTTGCCAGAGGAGTTGGATAGACGTGTCTGGGTTTCGACTGGTGCTCAGTCAGTGATGCCTCGTTGCCGCTTCGTTGCTGCCTCGTGCGTTGGGTGGGTGTGTCGGTGTTTCAGCTGGTGCCCGGGTTGTGCCGCCTTATCGCCACCTCGTTGCCGCCTCGTGCACTGTGTATATGGGTTTCGGCTGGTGCCTGGTTGGTGCCGCCTCGTTGCCACCTCGTTGCCACCTCGTTCGCTGGGTGGGTGTGTCGGGGCTTCGGCTGGCCCGCATAGTTACATCACATAGTTTACATCACACAGTGCAAACGGCTTACATCACATAGTTTACATCCCATAGTTTACATCCCATGGGCTTTCACCTCCAGTTCGCACCGCCTAGCTTACACGACAACGCTCACAGCACATAGCTTACACTGCACAGTTCCCATCTCCATAGCTCACACCACATAGCTTACACGACAGAGCTTTCACAACATAACATACAGCGAATATATTCACCTCCACGGTGCAATCACACGCTGTTTGCGGTCCACGGTGGCGTCGTCGCCGTCATGCTGATGCAGTTGTTTCTTCTTCTGAGCTCCGTCGTCGTCGTCATCGTCGTCGTCGTCGTCGTTCCCCTCTTCGACGCCCGCTTGCCGCGAGTTGCCTACCGGGGGGCTGACTGACCTTGCGCCGCGCCAGGTGGCGAGGCGGCCACGCGCTGCGCGGCTGGAGGGCGTGCTGCCGCGTCTGCTGTGCGGTCGTGGCCCACTGCGCTTCTCGAGGAAACGCCCAGCGCTGATCAACGCACGCGGGTCAGCGACGGGACCCGATGTCGTGCGACGTCGGCGCGCTCCGTCGCCACATGAGGCGGCGCTGGCCTCCTGGTCGGGTGGGTACTTGCCCTCCGTGGATCTGGCGCCCACGCGCCAGATCCACGGATCCCTAGCTCGCCTTGGCTTCGGCGCGACATGCGGAGCATACCCCAGTTCCCAAGCGTCACCGTCCCGAGCCTCTCCCAGCCTGAGCAACCATCTATCGTCCGGCGACTCGGGGCCCTCTTGGACCGTCTTGGGGGGGCCTTTCGAGGCTCTCTCGGCCCATCCTGGGGCCCTCTTGGGCCCGAACAAGTCACGCGACAAGATGTGAGGGAGCTCAGGGGGTACGCGCCAAGGCCCGGGAGATTTCAGAGCGAGGGGTCCGGGTCCCCTCAAAAAGACTCCTCAGGAAGGGGGAGTGAGGCTCAGAGGATTGGGCAGAGGACCTGAGGACACGCCCACTCCGTGCCCAGCGGCACGGTGGCGGATCAGCTCGCAGGGCGTAGCGTGTCGTTGGGCCGCCGTCGCGGCACGCGCTGAGCACACATTCCCGACCGCAGTGGGTCCATCCTGCAGAATCACGGGTCCTGGAGAGAATCGTGTCCTGTCGGGTGTTCTCTGCAATCGGTCTTTCACCGTGTCGGGTGGAGAGGCCGGCGTCCCAAAGAGAGGGCTGGGCGATGGTCGGGGTGGCCTTCTGAGAAAGCACCAAGGCTTCTGAGAAGCCCTCCTGCCGTCCCAGCGGCTTTTCTTCTTAAAAGGGGGGCTGATCCGATCTGAGAGTCCTCCTGCCTTCCTTACAAGTCCTTCCCCCTCCCTGCACCGCTGAGTACTCCGCCGCAAGTATGGAGGGCCTGGGCCTCAGAGACCCAGAAGTTGGCGCAGAACTCCAGCATCGGCGGTCGCCTCCGCAGATCAAATATGCTCCTCGATCTCATGTCGTCGGTGGTGGCAATATGATCGGTGCTATTGAAAGAGCGCCTTCTGAGTATACGCTGGGAGGACGTCAGGCCGGGTTCACCCCCCCCTCCAAAAGTTGAAGTCGGGAGGGATGAGTGGGTTCATCTACTCTCCCCCCCCTCTCTCCAGAGTGAAAGTCGGGGGGGTTCAAGCTCTCCCCCCCCTGCGCCGGCAAACGACGACGACGTATCCTGGTCGCCCGCTGGACGGAGTCGCCCACGACGTCGACGATGGCGACGGTCGGGGTGACGACGATGGCGATGGCGACGGCGACGACGCCGGGCGCCCGCAAACGACGACGGCGACGACGACGACGACGTTCCCCCGCCCGCCCGATTGCTCACGACGACGACGCCGTGTCCCGCTGGCAAACGACGATGACGATGGCATGTCCCGCCCGCCCGCCCGACCGACTCGTTCACGACGTTGACGACGCGTCCCGCCCAACCGGCCTACTCGCCAAAACGACGACGACGCAGAGAGGGGGAATGGGGGTGGGTTGAATTTCCCACCTTCGACTTTCGGAAGGGGGGGGCGGGGGTTGGGCGGGGGGGGGGGGGGGTTCGCTGGGGAGGGGGTGGTGGTTGTCAGGAGTGGAGGGAGGGTAATTTCGAGAAGGGGTGGGGCGGTTCCGTAGCTGGGTATCTTACGATCTTGTATCAAGAAAGCGTGCACAGAAGGAGCTCATTCGGGCTAGTTGAGAGGCCCGAGTATCACCATTAAGATGGAGGTCAGGAGGCAGCCTCTCTCGACGAAGATGACCCCTGATGCTGGCGGGGGTGAAGGCGGCCACGCCAAGCCTGGGATCGATTTTCAGGCTCCCGCCGCAGATCTCTGTCGGCGTCTTCGCGCGGCAGCGAGCGTCGGCCGATGTGGCGGGGCAGGTTTTCCCTTCGGATGAGCGCAGTGCGCTCCCGCGGGCTTCACAACAAATGTCGCAATCTGATGTTGTTGGGTCTTGCCTGATTGCGTGCTCGTGCTGGATTCCTGTAAGATCGGGCCTGACGAATGGGGGGGATTGGGAAAGGGGGGACTACGAAGTCTGCTGCATGCAGCTGGTTTCGGCCCCACCGAGGGGCCCATCTCTCGATACATAGCCGCCTCCGGCGCCAGGAGGCACCAGGAAAATCAGCTACGTGAGCTGATTCTCACCCCCCCCCTTTGCTATCCCCCCTTTCGCCCGGCCCGATAAGAGCACACAACGTAGTGTGGATGCTCGGGGGTATTGAGCTGGTCGCTTGCTTGAACATGTTCGTGAGCTTGTTTGCTCCAGTGGGTTTGTAGTTACTTGATTGCTCGCGCTTGCCTGTGATTACACCAGTCCATCGGTGCGGTTCACTTGGCTATGTCAGCACACCTGCCGACTGATGCTGGTCTCGCTTTCTGCTCCCCCTCCCCGAGTCTCAGAGGCTCTGCATTGCAGTGGCCGTCACCTGCTTCTGCAGATTGCTACTGGTTTGTGTCAGCTCTGGGGTCGGAAGACGTTCCCACTTAATTTAAGCAATGCCCGCCATCAAGCTCGAAGGTGCAGATGAGGAGGAGGTGCATTGGGAGGACGAGCAAGATGAGATGGAGGAAGAGGCCTGGCTAGATCTGCTGGGAGTGCTCGTTCTCTGCCCCGGACTGCCGAGGCACCCTCGCCACCGAGGCTAGCCCTCTCCCGGGGCCCATGACGTCGTTATCTGTCCATAATGTGGACCCTCACAGGTCTGCACGTTATGCTCCTCCGCCTCCTCCTCCTCCTCCTCCCCCCTCTCCCATCCTACGTTTTTTAGTGAACTCCCTGTCGCACTCCGAGGCTGATCGAATGGGCGAGCTGGGCGTTTCGCCTGAGACTGACCCACCCTTTTTGAATGCTTAAACATTGGCACCAGTTTCACAGATGGAGGGCGGGTCGCTTTCAACATATGGCTCTCGTAGTGTCGCGAGCATTCGTTTCACAACATCGCAAGAGTTCCGCGGATTAATGGCGGGTGGTTTTCAAACTGTGGTTCTCGCCTTAGCGCCGCGCGCATTCGCTTTCTTTCTTCACGGATTTGGAGCGTTTTTTTTTGTTCTTTTTCAGAATGTGGTTCTCGCCTTAGCGCCACGCACATTCGTTGAGGGTCACGGGTGGAGGGCGGGTTGAGGCCGTTTTTTTTATTTTTTGTTTTTTTTTTATTTTTTCTTTTTTCTCTCTCTTTCTCTCTCTCTTTTTTTTCAAAATGTGGTTTTCGCCTTCGCGCCGCGCGCATTGGCTTAAATCATTTGCATGAGTTTCGCTGGGTCTCAGATTAATGTACCAGAAATGGCGTTTTTAATCGATTCAGGGTTGTCACAGCGCAACACTCATGTGGATTCGCGGTGTTGTAATCCCAGGAATGGTGTTCTGACATCAGGATCGCTAAGACGTAAACCTGTCAGGTGAACTCGCGGTGTTGGAATCCTGGGAATTGGGTGTTGGCACGCTTCGAGATGTTCACAATGTTGTCCCCAACGAAGCAATTCCGTCGGTGGCAATTGACCCCTTGTAGGGGCTTGTGAAGCGGGATCTTGGAGGGATGGTGTACTTCAACATCGTTGATGAGTCTTGGGTTTTCACTGGTCCTCCTCCTCCTCCTCCTCCTCCTCCTCGGGGAGGGCGGGGCGTGCGCGTGGAGCGTGCGCTGTATGGCCTCGACATCATGGGGCGCCGAACAATCCTGGCTCCGAAGAGGCCGCCGGGGTGGGGTGGGGGTGGCAGCGACCCCTTCCCCAGGGGAACAAAGAGTGAAAAGCATAGCGACTCGGAGGTCCGCGCGGATTTCTCGGATCGGCGTTGGAACCCCTTCCTGGCGGACGGAACGCGCCAGCGGCGGCGCCGGAGGCGCCGCCAGGAGGCCCCAGTGCCGATCTGAGGGACTTGCGCTGACCTCAGAGATTTTATGTTTATGTCCTGGTCCGTTCCCCTTGCTCCCCGGGACCACTTTTTTCCTCCTAGGCCGTTCTTTGGTGGCGCTGGGGCCCTGTGAGGGCCCCTGGAGGCCGAAAGCGATGGAGAGCCTCTGTCCGGACTTCTCTTCACTGCGCTGGGGGTC